AGTATTTTCATTTGTGAAAGCATTTTGATTATATGAAAACATAATGTCATCCCCAAATAGGTTCTAGAAATAGAAGTTTCAAAGCAAACAAACAACCTGTTTTTTTTTTTCATAATCTATCTCAGAAGCTGATTGTGCTGCAAAACATGCCTTCTCTTGTTATGCTTTAAAGTACTAGCATAGCATTTATTTAAAGTCAAAACCAACTGCTGATCTGATTCTGAGATCCAGCTAGTATCTCAGGAAAGAAAGCATGAGAGAGCAGACATATATACTTCCCTCTTTCAGAAACTTCATCTTTGGCTGCGGAGCTGAAATTCTAGGGTTGACGTCAAGATTGAATTGGCACTTGCCTTCAGGACTGGCAGAACAATTAGCTCTCTCTGTAGATTGCTTTTTTTTTGTTTGCACACTTAATGTTGCCGGCCCCTTTGGCCGGCCCTGTGGTTTTCAGCATGCCCTGCCTTTCTCCATCTCTCTCTCTCTTCCTTTCTGAAACCAGGCATGCTGTTATCCTGAAGGAGTCAGAGACCAGGCTGTGTGGCATTGGCTGTGTTTTTCAGCTAGTTAATCTGACAGTTGCCTACTGTGCCGAGTTGCTAGGAGAAGGTGAATAGTCGCAATTAGAGCATGCTCCTTCAGTGGCAACCTGTAGAGCTCTAATTTCCTTTGTGCAGGGGATGAGTATGCGGCTGCAAAAGCTGGCTTGCGCTCCGTCTATGCATTCAGCACATTTGTGCTACTTCTGTCCTCCGCAAAGCAATTCAGAGTCAACTTGAAAAGGCATAAGTGCGGGCACCAGGCAGATGTTCCTTTTCAGAGGGCGGGCTCGGATTTGATATTGGCCACCTGCTTCCTGATTGCATCCTTGCTTCATGAACAGCAGAGTGCAGGCTTCCATCTCTCTCCTGCACCGCCTAGGCAATTGCAGTTCTTTTGCGATGTCCAAAAGATTCCGGTAGATTTTGAAAAACAGATTCAAACAGCCAACGACGTGTTCCAGTGCACAGAACTCTGGCAGTTAGTCTGTAGCAAAGGCAAGTAATGGGAAGTATGTGGATGCGTTTCAGGGGTGGGGGAAAGTCCTTCCACGGTTGGCTAGTGATACATTTCCTGCCTCAGTGGATTTAATCTTTGGGGAGATCAGAAGGGCTGCCTGCATGTGGGGCTGGTAATTTGGCTGGCCAACTGAATAGGCAACTAAGGTAGAAGTGCTTCTCTGCTCTGCAATTCTGATTAGGTGTCGAGAGAGAAAAACGGAGCAACCATCTAACATGTACGGATCTTCTGGCACGTGTGCTGGGTGGCAGGAGCTTTTTCCGTCCCACTGCTGAGCCTAATTTGAATTCAGTTGCTTGGGCCATGGGCTCCACAGGTCCAGAGGGAACTCAGAAAATGGACAGCACTCCTCTGAAGTATCCAATAGGAGGTCATACAGAGAAAATGTGGCAACGCCTGAAAGGGATGTGAGTATCCTGCCTTTTCTCTTTATTTGATCCTTTCTTTCTCAGAAAATTAAAAAAAAAAAAGAACTGTCGGATTTCGGAAACACGACTAATGCATTTCTGGGCAGAGCATTTCAAATGAAAGAGCAAGAATCAATAATGTTCTTTGTTTGGTAAGCCAAGCAAGAGAGAATATTGCATAGGGAAGCTGGATTGTTTTTTTTACTATACATAAAGTTGGTGATGGAGAATAAAGCCTGTAGCATGTATTTTCACAGTTAAGCCTCTTGATCAATGAGATGTGATCATTTCCCCATCACAACTAGTGCACCGTATCTTGGTGTCGGACCTATTAGTAGCAATCTTGCTAGAAGAAACTGGCCCTTTTGCAAGGAAATTGGGATAGTAGAAACAGAAAGATGAACTTGAACAGCATTTAATCCTTGAACTATGTATACTGTAAAACTCCCTTCCTTCCTTCCTTCCTTCCTTCCTTCCTTCCTTCCTTCCTTCCT